GTTTGCTGAACTGATTACGCAAATTTAAAATGATGTTTCTGAAGATAGAAATAAAACTTCCCACCAGGAATAGACAGGCTTTTCAACAGAAGAATATCTGCCTCTTGGCAAAAAAAAAAAAAAGAAAAAAAAAAGAAAGGCTTTTAGGTTTTTTCCACCTTTAGTGTGAAAATGAGTATTCATATGGGATGGCTTTAGACTACCTATTAGAAAATGCATATCAAGTAAGAGATGGATAATTTATAGAGTTGATTGCTTTAAGCAGAGAAGCTTAAAAAGGAGTCTTTGCAACTCAGGTTGGTCTCAAGAGACAAACGTATGCTCATTATTCAGAATTGAAAACTGCCTGTGAAATACACAACAAAAAGGAAAAGAAACTTAGAGAAATGTTTGAGAAGTAGAATGTTTTACCACTCTTGGAAAAATTTTCTTGTTTCTTTTCTGTAGGAAGGAATGAGATAGTTGTTAATACTCTTGAAAACTATCTTAGAGAGTGAGGCTTGAGCAGCTGAGGTTTTCTCATGGGACTGTGCACTGATGTTTTGTGCTGCTGTATCAGGATCTCCAAGCTTTCCTAGGTGGACAGTTAAATGGATGTGTCAACAGAAGCTGAGAAATGTTCTCTCAGCCAGGCTTAAGACATGAAAAAGAAAATGGCTTTCTTCATTTACAAAATTGAGCCACAAATAGACTCAGGAACAAAAGCCTAACAAGGAAGATGAATAACATAGAATTATCACTGTCACTTACATTATGTCCAGAATAAGTGGATTGCAAAGGGCAAGTCATGTTGTCAACAGCCTGAGGTATGTGAGGAAACTCTCCTATGAAGGCCTATGCCCAAATGTCCTGAAATGGAAATCTGAGACCTGTTAGTACAAAAGTGCCCTGAATGTTCTTAACTGGCAGGATGAAGGCAAGGGGACCGGGCTGCCTCTAAAGCAACTAGAACCCTTCAATCACATGCAAGGAACTGGTAATCTGAAAAAACAAACCACCAAGAAAGGGTACAGATAAACGTCATAGCAAATCAAATGGAATGTGATCAGCCAAGCTCTATACTCCTATTAGAACAGGGAGTTCCAAGGACTGATACCTTGTCATTTAAATAGTCTGCAGACACAAGCAATGCATTCTTCACAGGCATCTTATTTCCTGTTTTTGTTTGTTTGTTTTGTTTTTGACTTTTTAGTATTTATTTTAATGTTTTTGAAAGGGATACATTTTTTCCAATTTAAAAAGAGACATGGCCATCAAGAGTGGGTTAACATATAGCAGAATACCATATAAACAAATTAGCTACTAGCTACAAGCAGCAACTTGAATGAATCTTAAAAACAAAACATTGGGACTGGGCGCGGTGGCTCACGCCTGTAATCCCAGCACTTTGGGAGACCGAGGCCTGCGGATCACGAAGTCAGGAGATGGAGACTATCCTGGCTACCACGGTGAAACCCCGCCTCTACTAAAAATACAAAAACAAAATTAGCCGGGTGCGGTGGTGGGCGACTGTAGTCCCAGCTACTCGGGAGGCTGAGGCGGGAGAATCACTTGAGCCCAGGGGGCGGAGCTTGTAGTGAGCCAAGATTGCGCCACTGCACTCCAGCCTGGGGGACAGAGCGAGACACCGTCTCAAAACACAAACAAACAAAAAAAAACATAACATTGCACAAAAACACATCACAGAAGAATATGTATAATATAGTACCATCTATACAAAGGCCAAAGCAGGTAAAATTAATATATTATCAGAAATCCATAAATAGGTAGTAAAGCTATAAAGAAAAACAAAGAACAAGTACCATAAATTTCAGGATTGTTGCGTCTTGGTGGCGGGGAGAAGGAGATGTGATCAAGAAGGACACGAAGGTGTCAAATACTGGCAGTGTTTTGTTACTTAACGCCGCTGGTGGGAGCCTGAGTATTCATTTTATTATTATTTACGCCAATTATAAATGTTATCTACTTCTTTAAATGTATGATTTATAAGTTTGTTTTCTCAAAAAAGATGAGTCAAATTTCAAAATTTTATTTCGTTTCTTGAGATCCAAGTATCCCTATCTTCTGAGGATAGCCTTTATCCACAGACACCTATGAGGAAACCCAACACGCAGAGTCCCCAGACACAGACAAGACGCCCAAAAAGAAAAAAAAAAAAAAAAAAAAAGAAAAAAAAAATCAGAAAAAACTATTGGTTGAACTTTTTTTTTTAAAGTTGGCATCATATATGTGAACTGACACTCAAGGCCTTTTACCACCTGAACCCAATCTTTCTTTCTAGGCAGATGGTATCCCAGAACTTCCCAGTGGGACCTTTTTCCTTGTTAGATGTGATTCCTTGGCCAAGCCTTACATTTCCCCTGTTTGTGCTGTGATTATCTCATTCCATTTACCTGCATTTCCCACCTTCTTGCTGACCGAACATCTTAGTTTGACCCTTTCTGGGAAGCCACCTCCATAACCTTTGTCTGAGGTGTCCTGACTATCTTTCTTGAGCTCTCAACAACTGCCAATTTAATTCTCCTAGCAGTTAACCTTGTGTGCCTTATAACAACTGCATTTTCACCAGCCAGACCCCTTTCCCTCCTGGGCAGATAGCTTGACTTTATTTTCTGTCTTCCCATGCAGGTAGATGATTGAGTTTTATCTACCAGAAGCATATGCCTCCTGGAAGCCTGGTTATAATACCTCCCACAAAATCCTTCAAATGCTTTTTATTGTTCTCCTAAGTGTTGCTTATGGGGGACCCAGTGAAGTACTTCAGAGCCCTAGAGACTTGCTGAGTCATATGAGTGGTCAGCAAACTTTTCCTGTAAAGGGTCAGGTAATAAATATTTTAAGCTTTGTAGACTGTATAAAGTCTCTGTTTCTTCTCCCCCTCCTCCTCCCCTTTCTCCTTCAGCTTCTTTCCTTTAAAAATGTATAAAACCTTTCTTCTTTTCCAAAATCTGGCTATATTTGACCTGTGAGCTGTAGCGTGCTAAGTCCTACACTAGAAGGAAAGATCTTGAGTTTCAAAATAACGATGTAAAGCAGAGACCCTCCTCCCCGCACCCATTCTCTGCAACTGACAATTTTCTGATTACTTTTCTTTTACTCTTTGTCTTTCTCTGAACTATAGATGTATGGTTAGCTTTCTGAGGTCAAATATAATAAAGAGGTAGCCAACTATTTGGCAAATTTGGACCAAGCAGAGTTCTGATATAAAGAATGTAGGACCCATTCACCCTCAATTAGTCTCTTCACTGAAAGGTGGCTGATACCAGATATATCTTATTTACTAATTTGTTTAGTCCATGTCTAGGGAACCATTATGATCAAGCCAATATGCCCAGGTCAGAGTAGCCTACTATAGAATCAAAGCTTTAGGTTAGG